CCTCTGCGGTGGCGGCGGTGGCGGCTGCGGCTCCCTTCAGACCCCAGGCAGCGGCTCCTCGGCTGCTCCCCATACGCCGGGGACATGGGAACCCGGCAACCGCTCCCGTCCCTCGGGGCCCCCTCCCCCGTCCACGGCACCAGCGCGGCCGCCCTCCGCCCCTCGCCTCTGCTCAGTGCCCTCTCAGGAAGTGTCCGCGCTTTGCCCCCAGCCCGGAGCGCTGTCAGCAGCTGCGGGGCCGGCTCCTCCTCGCTTCCTTCCTTCCTTCCTTCCTTTGTCACTCGGAGCCCGCATTCGCCCGGGTCGGGGGCTGTTCTGTGTGAGGAGCGCCGACTGCGCAGCCGCCTTGCGCTTCCCCACTCCCCTTCCCCCCTCCTACTCGTCCTCCGCCTCCTTCCTCCCCCACCCAGCCTTACACCGCCCAGCGACCCGCCGCCCGCGTAATAGGCGTCTGGGAATCGCCGGCCGATCCCTGCGCCCGCCCGCTTCGGCTTGAGAGCCGAAGCTTGAGTGGAGCCAATAGCGGACGTCGTTGGTTTGCGGCTCCTCCCGGAAAAAGTCGATTGGGCTGAGGACTCAATTAGAAAGTGTCACTGGGAAACCACTCCCTAATAGCGGAAAATACCGAAGGTAGCCGAAGGAAAAGAAGGTGGTTTCGCCTTGTTCTGTGGGTGGCTAGAGGAGAAATTCGATGATGGCAACTGTGCCCAATCAGAGTCGCCGGCTCTCATGAAAAAGCATAAAAAGTTAAGGACAGTGAAACCTGGAATCGCTAGTGAAACTGCGCGGCGGGGCTACGCGGCCGCTTCGTAATTGGCTGGAAAACTCCGCTGGGAGTGTACCACCCTCGGTGATTGGTGAAGGGACGGGGGCTTCCGAGGACAATCTGGCCAGTCAGAACTTCTCCTCCCTCGCCTGGGTGGGGAGAAGAAAAAGGAAAGGGAGGGCGTCTATAAACCGCATTCTCATTGGCCCGAAGCTTTGGGGCGGAGGGGGAGCAAAAGAAGAAGGGAGGGAGGCCGAAACCCTTGGCGGTGGCCAATCGGCTCTCACTGCCGTCCAATCGCAAGACCTAGCTGCAGTGTGATTGGCCCTCGGCCTCCGGCGGCGCTCCCAGAAGCGGGGTGAAGCTTGACTGGGATCGTGGAGGACAGTCTGACGGGCTCGCCTGCTGCAGCGGGTGTAGAAGGCGCGGATAGGGAACGCGGCACCTCCGAAACTGCTGCGGTCGGCTGAGCTCGGCTCGGCTCGGCTCGGCTCTGGGCACTCAAGCGAGCGGAGTGTCTGCGGGCTTTCCCCAACCCCGAGAGCTGTCGGCTGGGCGCTGCTGATTCCGGGCTCCCGTGAGCCGAGGCTCGGCGTCTTCCTCTAAAGGGCCAGAAGGAACGAGGGGACCGCCCTGGCTCCGGGGAGTTCTCAGAGCCAAAGTGAGAACAAAGCTTCCAGAGAGGCAGCGCCTTCGGGGAGCCGCGCCCCGCCCAACGCGGGGCCATTGATAGCCCCCAGCGCCTGCTACGCTGGGCCTGGCCGGCCTTCTGGAAACGCCCCTGAGAAATGAGCTCATGCTGGGGGCGCGCGCTCCTTGGGCGCGACTGGCTAGCGCATAGCGCTCCCTGAAACCAGGTGGGGGGAAATGCAGTCAGGCCGGATATCCCACAGCCTCCGAGGAAACGGGTGGTCAGAAGAGCCTCGAATCTTTTGGAACTAGGGTGATCCACGAAAGTGCACTCTGAGTAGGTTAGAAACATAGGCCAGTGTCCATTGTTCTACGGGAGAACCGATTCCTGTGGCCTGAGAACAGTGAGGCATGGCTACGTCCAGACGGCAGAGAAAGTAGAATGGGCAGTTGGCTTCCTGATTGTACTCCTGTGGTGCCTGTAATTTCCACCTGCAGAGTCACTCCTTTTTGTTAAGATCCTATCTCCAGAAAGCACATGTAGAAGTACCCATATTTGATCAGATTACATAGGTATTGCTTTGAAAAACTGGTAAGGGGCTTGAGACAAAACGAAGTAAGCTTTAATGGGGTACAGGAAAGGTCTGGAGTCTCTGGTGTCTTCAGGGACCAGACAAAGCATCTGAGCGAGACTGGCCTCATGTAAGACAATGGGGAATAATAAGGAATATGACAAATTGGAGTACCCATGTTGTAACTAAAGGGAGGAGCTGCTTAGCTTTTAGCACATTATTGTCCTCAGGAATATGGGTCCAACGTGCTAAAAAAAAAAAAAATCTTTTTTTTCCCTCCTTCTCTCCCAGGAGAAAGGAGGAGCTGCTTAGCTTTTAGCACATTATTGTCCTCAGGAATATGGGTCCAACGTGCTAAAAAAAAAAAATCTTTTTTTCCCTCCTTCTCTCCTAGGAGAAAGCCTAATGTTGATTTTTTGTGCCAAATCTCTGGATTTTTAAATGGTAACAATATGTCAAAATCCTGCAGGCCTAACTTAAAAACATCCCAGGGCACAGGTGTGGAGGCACCTGCCCTATGGCAAAACATCCCAGGGCAAAAATGGACAACTGGCAATGAATTTGCAATCTCAAACCTGAGCATAGGTTTTATAACCCAAGAGCCATAGAGGCTCTTGTTCTTTGCAATTAAAAGAAAACATGAGGTCACTGGATGCCATGTAGGAGGATAAAGAATGTTAAAAGCAAACTCAGTGGTTGGCAACTTTGTCATCTGAATGGTGCCTCTCCATGCTATTATGAAAGACTTTTGCCACTGTTCCATAAAATGCTGTGCAGCAAAGCTTTAAATCCTGCCTTCCTCTCCTCTACTTCCCATCTCTATTCCCAATTATACTAGCAGGAAAGTAAATAACAAATATTTAGGTTGTACAGTTTTGTTTTGTTTTGGTTTTGGTTTTATAACTTTATTTGAAAATCAGCAGTTCTCATCCACATTTACTGTAGATTTTTGAATGTGGTAACAGGTACATAGGTCACCAGAGTGTAGAGCTTGTTGGGTGAATCTTCATCCTTGTTTCGTTTTCTGGACAACCGCACACGAATTCGATATGGGACGTTCCTTATTCCTTTGGCCCAGACAGCTTTGTTGAGCCTGGTATCAATGCACACATCTGGAGTCCCCATTTCTTTCATGGCAAATTTCCGGATTTCTTTGAGTGCCTGAGGGGCACGTTTCTTGAAGCCCACACCATGGATGCGCTTGTGAATGTTGATGGTGTATTCCCTGGTCACCACCTCGTTGATGGCAGAACGGCCCTTCTTCTTCTTGCCACCCTTCTTTGCGGGAGCCATTCTGCCGGGCCTAAGCTGAAAAGCTAGGTTGTACAGTTTGAAAACATATTATTTTGTATGTAGTAAGTACAAAAATAGCCTACCTTAAGGATGTGATTAGTAAGTAGCTTTACCAAGGCTACTTAAAAAAAGAAAAATCTAACCAAGAGGGGGATATCTTACAGGAGGAAAAAAAAATCAGTCTAAAATGAGGACTTAATGAAGTAGTTTATGACAAAATACAGAACTACTGAAACAGTCAATGATTGTTTCTCCAAACTTTCAAACCCGTTTTTACTTTAACTTCCCACCTGTTGTCAACCACTTACCAGTTTACGTTCATTGTAATAGTTTGTATTTGTCGTGTGTTTACAGTATGGTAGATACTATTCTTAAGTGCTTCACACATACTATGTCATTTTAATGTAACAGTCCTATGAAGTTAAGTACCGTTTTCTTTAGTTTTCAGATGAGGAAACTGAGACTCAGAAGACTTTCCTAGCTTATCCAAGGTCCACAAAACTAAAAGAGCAGAACCAGGATCAGATACCGTGTTTATGTACTCCACTTCAAACTCCAGACTCTTGCGCACAACCCCCCACTTCTGGTTTATCTTGCTTTATCTTGTCACCTAAATCTTATGCCTTATACTGTATGTGCCTGTTTATGAGCATCCCCCTTAGTAAGATAACACTTCCGTTTCCTCCAGGGCTTTTCCAGTTATCCCTTGTAGAGATCAGTGATTATAAGCCAAGGTAGCAATAAACCAACAGGTTAGAAAACTGTAAATGTAGGAAAGCATTCTTTAGTGGTACAGAATGAGTAACTATCATGAGGGGGAAAGTTAGTGAGCATTCTATAAGAAAATAGATGTAAATTTAAATGCACAGCAAGGGCCAGCAGGTGGCACAGGGGTTAAGGTGTCTGGATCTTACGTATAAGACATAATGATTCGAGTCCGAGACCTAGTGGCTTGAAAATCATGCCAGGTGCATGTACGTGCATAACTAAAATCCCGAGAGAAGACTGGAGAAGAAGGGATTGTGTGGCCATACCATGTAGGGGATGATTTCTCTCACTCGCTCGTTCGCTCTCTGACTCCAGCAAGTGCATATGCCCATAGCAAAGCAAAAAGTTAAATACCCAGTGAAATGGCATCATATAGTAATAACAAGCATTTGCATAGGTCTTTGCAGTTTATGAACTACTTTGACATGCATTACATCTTGGTTCTCACAGCAATCCAATAAAATAGGAAGGGAAACACTTGTTTGGTTTTTACAAATGCACAAACTAGGTACTAGAATGATTAACTTGTTCACTTAGCTGCGTTTTGAATTATAACTAGACGGAAATATAGGCAGATTTAGTAATGAAATGGCATATAGAATAGGAGATACCATTTATTTAGATGAACCCAGAGTGAACTATTCCAAACAGAAGTTCAAGAGCAAACATCTTAGGATATCATTTACTTAGCCAACTTGTATTAGACACCTCAATGTTATTCGGTGTTGGTCTTCAAAACCGAATAAAATATGATTTCTGTGCTCCAGAAATTTGTAGTCAGACACTATGAGATGGAAAATGTTGTTTAGTAATGAGTTCTAGGAAAGGACCCCAATATGAAGAT